TGATGACAATTAGGAAGAGTTTATGAGGTGTTGTGGTCGGGGAGGAATGTGGTCGGGGAAGACTGTGGTCAGGAGACTTGTGGTCGAGACTTGTGGTCAGGGAGAGACTTGTGGTAGGGAGAGACTTGTGGTCAGGGAGAGACGTGGTCAGGGAGAGACTTGTGGTCAGGGAGAGACTTGTGGTCGAGGAAGACTTGTGGTCAGGGAAGACTTGAGGTCAGGGGAGAGTTCGGGAGGAGAGGAAAGTTGGGGGAAAGGAGGCAGATGGGAGTAAGGAAGATCCTCTGATTACCTGTATGTATGGATGTATGTATGTACAGGTATGTATGTATGCATCTATGTATGTATGTATGTATGTATGTATGTATGTGTCACCCCAACAGACCACCTTCCCTGGTAACAAATTTCTCTCCTCATCTACCGGTCGTTCGTATGCAAATTACCCCAACTTAAAAGTGTAAATCATATCACTGTTAAACTCAACCCATTGGCGGCGTGTCTGTCGGATGTTGACTCGAGACTTATGCTTCTGGTTCCTTGCTGTCATGGGATCACCTGCAGATTAGACACCCCGGGTTATTTCACCTGATGAATTAACACCCTAACGCTACCTGGGGGAGGGGTGTTAGGTTAGGGTTAGGTTAGGTTTAGGTAGCGTTAGGTTAGGCTAGGTTAGGTTTAGTTAGCGTTAGGTTAAGACATGTTAAGTTAGCGTAAGGTTAGGTTAGATTAGGTTAGGTTAGGTTAGGTTAGGTTAGGTTAGCGTATTTAGCCATCAGGTAAAATAAACTGGGGTGCGTGACCTTCATGTGATCTCCGTCTTTTTTGTTTTCTTTAACCACCGGAAGTGTTCGTTCGTTTGTACTCTTATACCATCATCAGGGAAATGGAGCTTTGGTAGTAAATCTTTTTTTTTTTTTACCCGACACCACCACAACCGTACACCGCTACTGAAATAAAAACCACAACTACAACCGTAAATAACTCCTATAGTACATGACTCTCAACCACAACCGTACACCGCTACTATAATCAAATGACCGTAACTAAAATACTATACCGTGTTTTTGTCTCTTCTCTGCAATAAATGACAGTCATCGCGGTTTCATCATATCCTATTGACAACATTATTTTCACCTCGTTTCCTTTTTGTCGGTGATAACGTGATGTAACAAGGTGCAGCAGCTAATAACGCCCAGGTAACACTGCTAGTAACGCCCAGGTAACACTGCTACCAACGCCAGGTAACATTTCTACTAAGGCCCAGGTAACACTGCTAATAATGCCCAGGTAACACTGCTAATAACGCCCAGGTAACACTGCTACCAACGCCAGGTAACATTTCTACTAAGGCCCAGGTAACATGCTAATAGCGCCCAGGTAACACTGCTAATAATGCCCAGGTAACACTGCAAATAACGCCAGCCAACAAAACTAATAACGCCAGGTAACATTTCTAATAACGCCAGGTAACATTGCTAATAACGCCAAGTAACACTACTGACAACGTCATTTAACAGTGCTAACAACACCAGGCAGCAGTACTAATAACGCCCAGGTAACACTGCTAACAACGCCAGGTAACACTAGCTAATAATGCCAGGTAATATTTCTAGTAACGCCCAGGCAACACTGCTAATAAAGCCAGGTAAATTTCTAATAACGCCTAGGTAACACTCCTAATAACGCCAGGCAACACTGCTAATAACGCCAGGTAACACTGCTAATAGCGCCAGGTAACATTTCTAATAACGCCTCGGTAACACTCCTAATAAAGCCAGGTAAATTTCTAATAACGCCCAGGTAACACTGCTAGTAACGCCCAGGTAACTCTGCTAATAACGCCAGGTAATAATGCTAATAACGCCCAGGTAACACTGCTAGTAACGCCCAGGTAACACTGCTAATAAAGCCAGGTAACAAGGTGGCGTTACCAGAGAAATATTCCCCCCTTTCAACTCCCAAGTTTCCATACACAAATAATGTTATAATAAATGTAAATATTTCCTTTCAGTATCTTTTAAGAACAACGACATTATTTTTGTTTAATAAAAAAATACTCTATGAAACAAAACATTTATCTCGCTAATGTGCAAAGTTTTAATTCTCAAGAGAGAAAATTAATTTCCTCGGTGTATTTTCATGATATTAATAACTAGTGAAAGTTATCTACTCGTTACACTAAACATCAAAAGTTATAAATTAGAAACCGTATTTTTTGGGGTGAAGAAAACTTATCAAGCATTTGTCTGTACTAAAAAAAAAAAATAATACTAAATAAACAAAAAGTAAGTATTTCTCCCCTAAGACGATCAGTACAGTACACACCATTACAAATATCTTTTCTTAATTGTTTAACCACTCTAACGCTAACCTAACTTAACCAAATTTAACCTAACCTACCTTAACCAACCCTAACCAAACCTAAATTACCCTAAACTTAATTGAATCAAACCAAATTAACCCTAACCTAACTAACCATATCTAACCTAACCAAACCTAATCTAACCAACTAACTTAAACTAACCAAGCAAAACTTAACCTACCCCCCCCCCAAGCAGCGTCAGGGTGTCTATTCCTCAGGCAAAAATAAATTGGGTTGTCTAAACTTCAGGTGATCCCAAGCGTCATACACCTTCACAATACAGGTAATAGTTATATACAGTAACTCACAGGTAATGAGTCGAAATTACCTAATACTTACCTCAGTCGGATACATGCAAATTGAACCCGGAGGAGGTGGGGGAGAGGGGAGGTGGGGGAGAGGAGAGGTGGGGGAGAGGGGAGGTGGGGGAGAGGGGGGACTGAAGGAGAGGGGGGTTACCAGCTAGTGATTATAGCGTGTTATGATTTACGGGACATATAAAGCGACGTACACCTGGCCATCAGCTGTCAGTCGAGGCCAGGGTGTGAAGGCACTAACCACAGCGTCCTGGTGAGGTGGATGAAGTCATTACTGTGGGGTGGAGGGGGGGGAGGTAGTTATCAAGGCGAGCGGATATGTTTATAAAGTCAATTGATGTGAAAATGAAACAAACACACACAAACACACACACACACACACACAGAAACAGTATGTTGTTACAGTACATTTGGTGTGAGGAAAGACGTCAGCCCAAAAACTCAGTTATTTCGAAGCCATTTTCCTTGGAGATTAAAAGGCTAATGAAGTTTATTAATAAGGTGTAGCAGGTTTAATGCATCTTTTATTATGAGAGAGAGAGAGAGAGAGCACTGACCTCCCTACTCACACGATTCCTTTTAACATGATTAATAATGTTGTTTATCAGTCCTGACCATGTTGACGGGACACACTCGACCACTGAGGGGTTAATGTGGGACTAGTGTTAGATGTTTATTGAATCGACGTCTGATATACAAGTCTGTGTTTATGGTAATGTTTATGTTGCTTATGTTATTATTAATGTTTTGTTATTATTGTTGTTGTTTATGTTATTGTTGTTGCTTGTCATTATTATTGCTGTTATTGTTTTTTTGTTGATGTTTCTTATTATTGTCTGTGTTATTGCTCTTTGTTATTACTGCTGTTGTTGTTGCTTGAGGTATAATTGTTTTGTTATTATTAATGCTGTTTTTATTGTTGTTGTTGTTGTTTTTTACACCACGCTCCCATTAAAACATTGAGAGGACTTTCATCAAACGTTTTTTTTTTTTAAGCAGTCTCTCTCTCATATTAAATGTTAACGAAGCATCTTACGGCAACGTCTCATAATAATATTTCACCACGTATGAAACAATGACGCAGTGCAATAAAACGTTTTTAACAATACCTTCTCAGAAAACGTTTAGAGAAAATGTGATACGATTGATTTACAAGGTGTGTATTAATTAAACGTTGCAGGTGATTTTTTTTTATATGACGCTTATGAAAACGTTTTACTGTGGCAAGTTCAAAATATTTCTCAGTATAACTTTTTTATTTTTTTTAATTTCATAAAGGTACATACATACTGAGATGCAGGTGGGTGTAGGTGTACGGACAAAAACTAACTGGACAAAACCTCACCGGACAAAATATATTGGACAAAACCTCACCGGACAAAATATATTGGACAAAACCTCACCGGACAAAAACCTTACTGGACCAAAACTCATCAGTCAAAATATCACTGAACAAAACTCTTCGGACAGAACCTCACTGGAAAAAATTCACAGGACAAAACCTCACAGGACAAAAACCAAAAAAAAATAAAAACCTCTGCTGACAAAACTGACCCTCCGCCTTCCTACCCCCTCCCCCTCCCTATTCCTCTCTCCCCTCCCCTTCCTCCCCCTTCCTTTATAGTAATTACAACTCATTACACTTAACATACACTCGCAACCCACCATAAGGTCCATCACCCAGTGGACTTACAGGTAAAGACACCCTTACCTACAAACGCATTTAAACCCATTATTTCTCTACTTCATGGGCTAAATACTAACGTCTTCCTTGTGCGTAGGGACCATTAAACCCATTATTTAGGGGTAGGTGAAAAAAGTGACCATTAAACAACAATCAACCTTACGAATGGGGGGAAGAAAACTCAATATCCATTAACTCTTGACCAGATACTAAATATTAAAACCACCCTTATGTACAGTTACCATTAGATTTATTAACCATTTAACTTGCATTCTAATATCACCCTTTTGTACAACTACCATTATAGCCATTAACCATTCAAATTAAGTTTTTAAATCACCTTTATGTACAGTTATCATTAGATCTATGAACCCTTAGCCAGACAAGAAAAAATAACCTTCGCGTTTACCTACAGAAACATTTTAAGCCCATTACCCCTTAACCGGTTTTAGGTTAGTTAAATACAAAATAAAACCATCCTAATCGACAGAGACCATTAGACTCCTTTAACCCTTAGCCAGTACACTAACCAAACCTTAAGCTATAACCACCCTTTCCCACGGAAACCATTAGAACCCCTTAACCCTTAGTCAGGTAAGCTAATTAACTCCACACGTGCGTAATCACCTTGAAGATGGCAGCTGCTAATTACCTGGGCAGCATCCGAGGGGCGGTCACAAAAGTGCTTATGATGCCCTCTGCCAAATTAAGGTGTCGGCGGCAATTAGCATATACCATGAGCCCCAGGTGAGTCTTGGCTCCTAGGTGGGTGTTGAGGAGGAGAGGAGGAGGGTGTAGTGAGGAGATGTGGGGAGGGAGGAGAGGTGGGGAAGAAGGGGAGGGGAAGGAAGGGAGGGGAGAAGAAGGAAGAGGGTGTAGGGGAGGAAGAGGGTGTAGGGGCGAAGAGGTGGAAGAGTGAAGGGGAAGAAATGAGAGGGAGAGAAGTGATTGAGGAGAAGAGAAAGGGAGAATAGTGGAGAGGAAGGAGGCAATATATAGAAGAGAACTGAGAAAGACATTATCCCCCTCCCTCCCCAACACCACCCTCCCCAATCATCCCCCATCATAACCTCCCTCCCCCATCACTCCACCCCTCACCACCTACACCCTCCCTCACCTCCACCACCTCTCCACCCCCTCCTCCCCTACCTCCCCAATACCACCTCCTCCCCACCTCCCCCATCACCACCACCTCCCATCACCACCTCACCCACCTCCCACCTCCTCACCACCTCCCTACCTCCCCATCACCACCTCTCCTCATCATCCCCCCACCTCCCCCATCATCCCACCTCCCATCATCCTACCTCCCCATCATCCTCTTCCCCATCACCACCCCCTCACCACCTATCCTCCTCTACCCTCCCCCATCACCATCCACACATCCCCCCGTCCTGATTTACGGTGTACCTGCCACTGTCCACACCAGGTAAAGCAACACCTGGTTTCCTCGGGTCTTGAGTCACACAGCGGGTAGGAAACTGAAGCACACATGACTCAGGTAAACACGCCGACACTCTCTGGGTACTGTGTGAGTTGCCTTTACCTCCGTGGCTAAGAGTTTTTTGAGGTCTACCTGTGCGTGTGATTGTGTTACTAACGCTTTTGTGGGTAGGGTTAGTGTGGTGTGGTGTGGGTGTGTGGATGTGTGTGGGGGTGTGGTGTGGGTGGGTGTGTGGTGTGGGTGGGTGGGTGTGTGGTGTGGGTGGGTGGTGTGTGGAGGTGGGTGTGTGGAATTGGGTGGGTGGGTGTGTGTGGTATAACCTCCTGTGAATAGTATAATGTATCGTATAGTGTAGCGTAATGTGGTGCAAGCTGTAGCAGTAGACTGTAGAGTGATACGCATGAACGTGTGTGTGCAAGCAAGCATACAGTATATGACCCAGCTCACAGTATATACGCCAGCTCCCATGCCTGAAAGCTAAACGTGCCGATGCGGAGCCTGGATGACCGTGTGCTTGTGAAATAGTCGAGTAAACAAAGGCTGCTGGTGCATTAAGACGAGCACATAGTTGTCTGCCTCCTTTACACCTGGCCAGTGTACCTACCTGCCTCTCCACTCATCTCTCTCCTCCACACCACCTTACCCAACAACTTCCTTCTCAAATTCTCAAAAAAAAATCTCAAGAATTTTTTTCCCCTTATACCTTGTAACTTCACACATATTGAGGCCTCACGTACGCCAAGTCCCCCAAAAAGATGGATTCGATACTGTGCTGAGACTACTACCATCAAATGTGTGTGTTCGTGTTAAGGAAGGGAAGGGAAGGGAAGGGAAGGGAACTAACCGGTAAATCTTTGAGAATACAGTCACTTTTTTATGTTGATTTATGATACGTTAACATAGTCCCAAAAGTTACCACCACTGATAGCAAAGTTCTTCTTGGGGTCAAACCTTCTGTCTTTATCTCGCTCTTTCTTTCTTCCCCTTTCTTCATTCCATGTTCGTTCTTCTCACTCGTTGTATTTTTCTCAATTCCTCCCCATTATTTTCTATTTTTATCCTTCTCTCCTAATTCTCTTTCCTTCCAGATCTCTCCCTCTGTCCTTCCCTTCCTCTCCCCTCCCTTTCTTCATCTCCTCTTCCCCACTCCCTTCACTTTCTCCCCAGGCCCCGTCAACCATTAACACCCCTCTCAAACCTAACACACAGACCTTCCTCCTTCCCCATTTCTCCCTCTCCTCTCCCCAAACCTAAGTCAACCATAACACTTCTCTCAACACAGACCTCCGCCATGTTGTCTCTGGTTGCCCTCTAATATCATTAGCCAGAATAAAATGTCAAGCAACATAGAACTGCTTTAAGTAACAAGATCGTAAAAAGCCAAGCAGCCTCTTTGTTGTCACCGGCTCGGGAGTCTCAAGAGCTTCGTAAGGTGAAGATTATTCCTCCTAAGTAAAGATGTAGAAATTACCTTAACAGATTAATTTACGATACGACAAAAAATAAACGTAAAAAAAAAATCCCATATCAAATAAATTTATGGAAAAAAAAAACTAAATAAAACAGTGGCCCGTAAGTGTCTAATAAATAACACGAACAAATATCTTTAAAAATGGCCCATAACAGACTGACTTACGGTAAAACAAAACCAAAAAATACTGTAAAAAATATATGGCATCACATTTACGCCGAGATTTTACCCTAACTAGATGCGTTCACTTAGCGCCACACAATTAAGGAAGGGGATCTCTCTGAAAAAAAGATTCTGATTTCGTAATTTTGTCTCTTTGACTGGTTGGTGCTAAAGGAACGTATTTATAATTAGGCTAGAATATACAGTAGGCACGTCTGGCCAGTTAGTGAGGCGGTACCCATTCCGGAACACTCAGCAGCATGTAAACTTTTGTGATAAACCTTTAAAGCATAAAAGAATGTGACACCGGTAAAGACTTCAGACCATCTGGCTTATTGTACCATTAACTACATAACTACTGTATTACACTGAAAGATGTCAAACTAATTATCTATTTAGGGTAGAGTCTCAGTGCAAATTCGACGCCATTTTGACTATCATATTTACATAGGGTAGAGTCTCAGTGCAAATTCGACGCCATTTTGACTATCATATTTACATACTTGCTTACATGGAGTAGATAAGTGTTACCTAATCCCCACTCAACATATTAATTAATACAGGTATGTTGTGTGGATCTGACCTCTGGGTTCATCAGTATTATTATAATTATGGAGAGAATAAACTTACTTTATTTATGTTAGAAAGAATAAAGTTGATTTTATGATTTGGTGAAGGCAGGTGAGGAAACTTTGACCATACATGCATACACTGCCACCCCCCACCATCCATACTGAATATATATATAAAACTACAATAAAAAATAAAAATATTCAACAGTTACCGTAATATTTCCAAAAGAAAAAAGTGGTCTATTTACATTTTTGGGGTCCGTCCTAAATCTCACAGTGATTGGGATCCCTGCTGGCTTTTTCTGACAAAGAACAACTGAAAATTTGCATAGTTTTGTACCATCACTGAACAAAGAGAGAGAGAGAGAGAGAGAGAGAGAGAGAGAGAGACATATCATACATACATACATACATTGACAATACAGGTATATAATATATCCACCTGTAGTTACCTCATAATGAAAATCGAATGAAAACTGATGTTAAATATAATACAAACACAAATGATGGGTCTGATAAAAGGCCAGATCACATGAGGGGGGGGGCATGGGGGAGGGTGGCGGGGGGGGGGGGTGGCTGGCTGGAGGGAGGCGGCTGGGGGAGGGCGGCGTGCAGAAAGCAGGGATGGTTGGTCGCGCTCCTCCTCACTACACATCAAAGGCCACTCAGCTGCTGGGGCGATGAAGGGTGACAAGAGGGGGGGGGGAGGGAAAGGAAAGAGAGGGAATGAAAAGGAAGGAAGGAAGGAAGGGGGATGGATGGATGGATGGATGATGGATGGATGGATGGAGAGAGAGAGAGGAAACTAGGAAGGAAAGAAGGAAGAGAGGGAAGAGGCGGAGGAGGAGGAATAGGGAAGGATAAAAGGAAACGAAAGAAGTAAGGGGAAGCGGGTAGGAGAAGGAGGGCAGTACTGGACACTGAACATGGCAATACAAAACAGGAAGGGCAGGAAAGAAGGGGTAGGCAAGGGCAGAAAGGGAGGATGTGGTGGAAGGGGGTGATGGAAGGGAGGGAGGTGGAAGGGGAGAGCTGACAGTGGAGGAGGGTGGCAGGGAAGGAAGGAGGAAGGTTAGGGGCCTGAAAGGGATGATGGATGGAAGAGGAGGCAGAGGTAAAATTAGAATAAAGAAGAAGAAGAAGAAGAAGAAATCAATCAGATGAATAAAATTGCATTACATTACGCCGGGAGGAAAGACCAGGAAGAAGAGGAAGAAGGGGGAAAGAAGGGGAGGAAGAAGGGAAGGGGGGAGAAGGGGAGGAAGAAGGGGAGGAAGGAAGTGCACAGAGGACAAACAACGCACAAAAGCAAACATATATATAAACGGGACAAAAGCAATTGACTTTATACACAAGGTTAAAAGATACAGCACATGAGAGAGAGAGAGAACAGACACACACACACACACACACACACAACACACACACACACACACACACACACACACACACACACACACACACACACACACACACACACACACACATAATTCCCACATTCCACGGATCGCCCAACACGTCACGTTATCAAGTGCTGGGGAGAGGGGAGGGGGAGGGGAGAGAGGATTCCTGGCCTTCCTCCTTGTAGTTTATGTAGGCATCTATCCTCCCCACCCTTCCTCTCCCTTCTAATCTATCTTCCTGACTCCTCCTCTCCAAACCTTTCATCCCTTCTTCGTCTTCTCCTCCATCCTTTCCCTTCCAATCTAACCTCCCCAACCATCTTCTCTCTTCCCCTCCCTCCTCCTACCCATTCTCCTCTTCACCCTTCCTTCCTCTTCCTCTCCCCACCCCTCCACCGTCCCCTCCCACCATACTGTTGCTAACATCTCCCCCTGGATTACCCTGTCGAGGGGAGAAGAGGGGAGGGGAGAGGAGGGGAGGGGAGATAAGGTCCGGCGTTTATACGTGTGAGTCGTGTACTGTATATTGTAGAGCCGTGTATGTTGAAAAGAGGGGAGGAAGGGGAGGAAGGGAGGAGGAAGGGGGAGAGAGGAGAGAGGGGAGAGAGGGGAGGAAGGGAGGAGGAAGGGGGAGAGAGGGGAGGAAGGGGAGAGAGGGGGAGAGAAACGAACGGGAAGGAAGGATAGGGAGGAGG